AAAGGACAATACTGACAGTCGACAGAAAATGAGAATACTGACAGTCAACAGAGAAGTACAATACTGACAGTCGACAGAAAACAACAATACTGACAGTCGACAGAAAAGACAATACTGACAGTCAACACCAGAAAAGGACAATACTGACAGTCAACAGAAAAGGGACAATACTGACAGTCGACAGAAAATGACAATACTGACAGTCGACAGAAAAGACAATACTGACAGTCAACACCAGAAAAGGACAATACTGACAGTCAACAGAAAAGGGACAATACTGACAGTCGACAGAAAATGACAATACTGACAGTCACCAGAAAAGACAATACTGACAGTCAACAGAAAAGGTCAATACTGACAGTCGACAGAAAATGAGAATACTGGCAGTCAACAGAAAAGGACGCTAATACGAATATCGTATTGTTTAGTCATTTTTCATGACTAGAAAGAAAACTTCGTTATATAGTTGATGAATCCAATATCACAAAGCGTATTCACATCATTTTCATTAGTCGGCAATCTAAACAAATATCATACTGAATATGGATTTTATATTGTCATTTGGTAACAAATTAGATATGTTAAATTACGTTAAGCAATTTCTGTTTACAAGCTTGTTTTATAACTGAATTTGTAGACTATGGTCGGTCGACTTTGGCCTTTTACCGTCTGTATATGGAGTCACATTGCAAAATTAACTTTTATGATAAGATATATTGGGAAATATGGGAAATCATCAACTTGTAAAACACTTTCACATGCCAAGTATCTTTATATTTGATCATATTCCATTTGCTTACTGACGCCACATTATTGAAGTCAATGCTGTATTCGTCAGCATACATAAGCAAACAGTTACAGGTGAAATATGTTTGTCAAAAGTTTTCGAAACAACAAGGAAAATACTGGCATGTTAACAGAACATGAAGTCAAACTCAACTTGGGAGGCAATAAGACAATATATTAAAAATATGAGATTTATTGGGAAACTCCGGAAAAGGTACCAGGAGAATAAGACCAGGTGTTCTGGAAGAGTAACCGTCTTCTGCTTAATCGACGATCCCTCCATGCAAATCTTGGTCAATACAAGGGAGTTATGTCACCGTCTCAAATGGAAACAAGGTATACAACATGAAACATGAAACACGTCCAGCTTCATATCACACAAAGAAATAAAAAGAATTTTCTCAATGGGATCACAATGATGGCGTATAACTCCTCCATAATTTTCACCTACCTGTGTTACACGTTTGTCCATCAGGTGCACGAAAGTCGAAATATCGGGACCAGACCGTTGAATATCGAATCAGCTGTGACGTGTGAACGCAATAGGTTGGGGATGCAGGAATATTTCTATCCGGAAATGGAAAATTCACCATAGGGAAACTTGTAATAATAATCACACTTATCATACAGCAAGGTTAAATGTTGTCCTTTTTTTTGTTTCGTTGTAGGAAAAGACCGAGATAAGAAACTGATGTAGAAGAGTATGTCGTGTCCTGGATTTCCAGTTCTGGTGGGTATATTCGAAGGAGGTGGTCTACGAAACGTTCGATATTTTGAGAAAAGCCGTCATCAATATATCTGAAAGCGAAATTAAACGACAAGGTCTTTGTAGCCTGTTTTGATAACCTCTGCGATGAATTCGTCTGAAAACAAAAACAGCCAGCAAACAGAGGGGTAAAGTGAGTCCCCATCGGTTTGCAAGTAGTTTGTTGGAAGGTCTCGAATTTTCCATGGTGAGTATAATCCATACAGTGGAAGACACTGGTGTCTTATGAATTTAAAATATCTTATTTTTCCTTAAAATGCATATTGTTTAATAGGTTTATAATTCAAATCACAATAGAATGTGTTTGAAATAAATAGTTAACATGATGTTATCTTGCTAGACACCAATATAGAATGCTTGGAGCTATATATAAACTACCAGCCCTTTTATGTATCACTACACAACAGAAGGTTGACGGTTTGAGAACAAGAAAGAGGACACTAGCCATCGGTCTTTTGGGAGTGATATTTATAAAACCATCGAAGGTTTCATGAGTTATCCCCCTTAGCATAATCAAATGGACAGTATATATCACTTAAGTCACAACATCTAGATGTATTTCTGATTAATATACGTCGAGAACAAACAATTAATGTAAAGATGTTATCCCAGACCAGAACATACATATATTGCAATGTACATGTTGACATTTCTTTCGATCATCTTTGACTTTCCCCGATCGCCTCATAAGTTCCAAAACTTGGATTTCAAGCATCACTGACGAGTCCTAGAAGGGCGAAACAACATAGCTGTATATACTGCGTCAGATCTAACAAAATTTTATATAGTTACCTCAGACAGGAATTAACAACCACTGAGGTTAAATTCACATAAATTTATAGTTACATCAGACAGTAATTAATCACCACTGAGGTTAAATTCACGTAATTATATAGTCACATCAAACAGTAATTAATCACTACTGAGGTTAAATTCACGTAATTATATAGTTACATCAGACAGTAATTAATCACCACTGAGGTTAAATTCTCGTAATTATATAGTTACATTAGACAGTAATTAATCACTATTGCGGTGAAATTCACGTAATTATATAGTTACATCAGACAGGAATTAATCACTATTGAGGTTAAATTCACGTAATTATATAGTCACATCAAACAGTAATTAATCACTACTGAGGTTAAATTCACGTAAATATATAGTTACATCAGACAGTAATTAATCACCACTGAGGTTAAATTCTCGTAATTATATAGTTACATCAGACAGTAATTAATCACTATTGCGGTGAAATTCACGTCATTATAAAATAACAACAGACAGTAATTAGTAATCATCGAAATTATATAACCGTGATTATACAAGGAAACAAACATGGACTGTTATCCAGCCAGCTGTATGATTAACGTAATGATTGTGAATTTTCCATTTTTGGATAGCACCATCTCTGCATCCCCAACCTATGTCACAGATGATTCGAAATCCAAGGACATTTTCTCGTTATCACGATTTTCGTGTAAGACGTCATCAACTGAAGGACCAACCCATAATAAGGGTTTCAAAACCTGCAGGTTGATAAAAAAATATAGGGACGTTTTATGGTTGCCATAGTGACCTGATTGAGAAATATTCCTTTTCTTTTAATGATATGAAGCTGGACGTGTTTGATGCTCGTTAGTTTGCCTCTTGGTTCCATTGTTGTACACCTTGTTTTTATCGAGAACTTGACATTATTAACTTGGATTGACAAATGTTTACATATCGGTTGTCGTGGATGGAACAGAAGATGGGTACTCTTCCGGAACACCTGGTCTTATGCTCCTTGTGCTTTTTCAGTAGTCACCGAGTTACTATGATATTTTTTTCATAGTATTTCTTATTCGTACCGAATTTGACTTTGATTTAAGGTTCTGTTAACTTGTCAGAATTTTCCTTGCTGTTTCTAACACTTTTGACAAACAATGATAATATTCAGTATGGTACTTTTTAGATTGCCGAATAATGATGCGAATATGCTTTGTGATACTGGAGTCATTAACTCTGTTAAAATAGCACATACATGACGTGTCCTTTATAGTCATTATGAGTCACCTTGAAAAACTTTCTATTGTTCATATTTTGCACTAGATTATATTAATTTGAGTTTGTATTATTGTTGACATGTTGACATTTTCTCGATTTCTTTATTTTAGAATTTCAGACAGTAATTAATCCTGACTAAACGTAAATGATCGTAATGATATAATTACACCAGAAAGACATTAATTACTACAGAAATCAAATCACCGTTATTATATACATGTACTGTACATCAGATAGTAATTTAACACCATCAAAGTTAACTCACAGAAACATGAAAATCAATGGCGGTAATTAAACGACGATGGTAATGGGGGAGAACCACTTAAACATAAAATCGTGTTACTTCAATAATCAACGATTGAGGTATCACCAGTCTCCGTACTGGAGATATACATATGCTTGTGTGTACAGGCATATAAATCTGCCTTTTTTTCCTAAAACCATATCTCAATCTGAAATATTAGGCCCAAGGAAAATTTTGATAAAAAGCACAGGCAATATCATCATTCAAACAGAAAAGTTAATTTGTCTGCGTGCTGTTTTTTTTTACATGATTAAATTCTTCAAGTATCTGTATGTAGTATTGGGGTATCTATTAGTTTATTTTGAGATTACAATATGAACTACGTATCGTAACATTATAGAATACGACACTGTATCAGTATTATCCAATCACATACAGTACAATACAGATATCCTCCAAAGCATCACCTTGATGACTGGTAAATAATGTTATATCTGGACAATCGACATGTATACCAAAATGATACAACATCTGTCTGGTGGTGACATGGTGAATATATCTCACGATTGGTGCTGTAGACTTCGCTCCGTACAATTTTTACAATCCCAATATAATTCACACTAAAGGCATCATGTTTTTCATGAAGAGCAAGTACATGTATTTTAAGTACCTTCCCAACATCACTTATAATGTAACAAAACCTGTAGTGGAAAGAATGAGTGATTTGTAGATGATTTGAGAGTCTGTTGGATTTTGAAACCTACTGCGTTTATATTCTGAAGCTTAAGCAATAATTCTATATCGTGTCTACCCTTGGGACATCAACTTTAGATGTTGTGAGACCACACAGTTAATATATCATTGTTATGGTATCACAGCACCTGTTATGATAAATGGACTATGTACAGCGAGTACCTGACAAGCAAAACCCGAGGCAATACACATATGTTTACATGTAAAGTCTAAAAATAGCATAGTTTAATGCGATCGACCAATCGTATCCTGGTATAGCCGGGTATCATATCTAAATATAAACACATGTGTGTTTATTGCTTGTCTGTCGGCCATTTTAGAGAACAAAGTATGTGTTTAAATGTGCTTGAAGAGGAAATTATTTAGATACAATTATTCTTATGACAGTAGATATACCGTGCCGTGATGGCGTCGAATACTGTGACTTGTTTACCAGAGCAGTCCGGCTTGGTGAGGCATGACAGCATAGTGCTAGATCTCGCTTTTGCTATGGACTGTACAGCTAGTATGAGTAGCTATATAACGACTGCCCGTAGAAACATACAGAAGATTGTAGAGGGGATTGTTTCCAGCGAGAAGAGTGACGTAAAGCTCGCCTTGGTAGAATATCGTGACCATCCACCACAAGAATTGACATACGTGACACGCGCTCACGACTTCACAACATCTGTTTCTGGCATGAGGAGGTGGCTGGAGGGATGTAATGCACAAGGAGGAGGCGACATACCCGAAGCTGTTGCTGACGCCCTACATGAAGTACTAAAACTAACTTGGAGAGAGCATTCTACAAAGATTTGCGTGTTGATATCAGACGCTCCACCCCATGGTTTACATCCTACCGGGGACACTTTCCCTAACGGTTGTCCAGCAGGACTGGACCCTCTGGCAATCGTTCGACAGATAGCTGAAAAGGGGATAACATTATACTGTGTTGGATGTGAACCTGCCGTAATTCCTTACAAGGAATTCTTTACCGCCCTGGCTTTTCTCACTGGTGGGCAATACGTGCCCCTTGTCGGAGCTAAGGCCCTGACTCAGATTATAATAGGCGGAGCACAAGAAGAAGTGTCTCTGGAGAGATGGATGGCTGAAGTTGACCAAGTCGTTCAACAGGAAAGCAAACATGGTCGTAAAGTTGACGAGGAAACTATTTCAAAGAAGATCGCAGCGAAATTGAAATCAAAAGGAGCTCGCAGCAAAGCATTGATGCGAAATAATGTCGCACTGAAGGAAGCCTCTGATTTTTCGAAAGCATTGTCTAAATGTAAAAGTCTAAAACAGCTGAAAGGACGATTTAAACTTGCTTCAATACCGTCGAGTGCTGTTTCCAAACGAACGACGTCATATAAAAGAAAGAAGAAAGGCAGATTAGCGAAAGAAGATATCATTGTGAAAAAGGGTGGTCCAGTGAAAAAAGGTGTCATAGTGAAAAAGGGTTGCCCAGTGAAAAAAGGTGTGAAAGTGAAAAAGAGTGGCCCAGTGAAAATGGCTGCGAAACGAAAAAGTAGTATACCGAAAGTGACCGATGATGAGGATGTATACAAAACTGTAGAGAGTTTTATATCTCACTCACAAATTTTAAGAATGATGAGGAAATCTAGGGCGAGAAGCAAGAAAAAGTGAACCCACTGTCATACAGTTATATAATGAAAGGGTAGTAAAAATTACAATATCGTTATGTTATGATGGTCGATCCAGATCGCTAACGTTTTTTTTTTTTTTTTTTTTAATATTTAGTGAAAAGCGAAATTTCTTGCAACAAGACATTTATGAAGCAAGATGAAATTGCAAGTATACATCGATCACATTGACTTAAATAAATCGAATTTAGGCGTATGGTGTTTAGGTTGTCCATATTATGTTGTATATCGAATATTGTTATTGTTAATTTTGATGCAATGAATTAAGTTGTCACTTCATACTTCTATCTTAGATCTCCACCTTTGATTGAAAATTACTTTTTCTGAATAAATTGAAAGATGTTTCATGTAGGTAATATTTCGATTTATATGGTATATTTTATTAACTCTATAACATGATGTTTAAATTGTATGTTGATAGTGCCGCGGTGGCGGAGTGCTTGAGGCGTTTGCCCGTTGTTATCACGTAGCCTTCCGCCACTTGGTAGCTGCTCCCAGGCCTACTAGGGCAGTGGACAGGTACAGGTCGTAGGTGGTGTTTTTTCTAGAAACTCCTCTTCCGTTCAAACGTGGCACGTCAATAAATGACACTGGTTCTTAAAATGACGTAATACAACCATAACCAAACTAACGTTTTGATTATTTTTATTTATTTATTTATTTATTTATTTATTTATTTATTTAATGTTTTTGTTTGTATTTGTGTTTGTTTGGTTTTCTGTTTTGTTTTGCTTTTGTTTTTTTAAGCAAAAAGCGTTCCGTTATGTATCTATGTATTCTAATGGTTAAACTAAGATATAACGACCGTTTGATGCTTATTCTGTTAATGAATTTGAATTACGTCACTTGTACAGCTATAGCTTCAATAGATAAGCTATGTTGCTTCTGAGTTTCTAACTGCTGAGTTCTGTGTAAAGACTTAGACCGTATCTAAGGTCAATTTCAATTGAACAACAGAATCCACTTGTCATTATCATTTGAAGTTTATATAAATTTTATCATGACACAATTTAGAATTATGGTTGATCCTTGAAAATATGGCATAACAGCTTCACTACAAACTATTGTTTTCAAGGAAAGAAAAAATGGGACTGCCAAACCAACCGACGAGACTAAAAATATCTGTACAAATGCTATACCGTTATGCCAAAGCTTTTATAGTGTGTGGTGCCTAGTCTGGCTACTGTGACCACTCCACTAAAACCATTGGATACATAAATAATTCATTCAGTATTGTATTTTTTCTTTCTTTCTTTCTTTCTTATTCTTTTCGTGTTGAATGAATAAAGGGTTTAAATTATTGCCATCAATATACTCTTTCAGATTATATTTTGCAAAATATTTTTGGAATACTATATTCTTGACCGTAAGCAAACACTGTTATACTTTGATTTTGACATTGGTTCTTAATACAGAGGATTAAAGCAAGAAGGCAATATCATTGTTGAGTTTGATGGTAAGAACTTCAAACAGGGCATTTGCATGTCGTTGGAGCTTAATTATGGCTCTCTCGGTTGTCGTGATTCTTTGCTTTCACACGAGGCTGAGTTTAAGGAAAGAGCTTATCAACACATGTCACGAAATATTTTACTTGTCTAATAACAAAGAGTTAAATAACTGATTTTGCACACCGAAATAAGAAATCGTGCAGATGACAGAATTTTCAACATCAGCACTTATAACAATATGTTTATACAATGAAACGAAAAGTGACAGCTTTCCATTTTCCGTATATTTCGATTTCCTCTTTTTCAAATGATTTCTATCATTAGCACAACGGGTTGGCGAAAATGTCTTGTCTGAGAGTCTCAGTTCATTCTTTATTCCAAAGGCTACCATCAAAGGTACCCCGTCTCTCGACTCTGCGTTGTCTGAAAGTTTCGGTCAATTCTTTAGTCCAACGGCTACCATCACCAGCACCCTGTCTCCCAAACCTGCCTTGTTTGAAGGCCTGTCATATCTAGACCCTGTCTCCTGAACCTGCCTTGTTGAAGGCTTGCCGTCTCTAGCACCCTGCCTCCTGAACCTGCCTTGTTGGAGGCTTGCCATTTCTAGCACCCTGCCTCCTGAACATGCCTTGTTTGAAAGCCAGTCATATCTAGAACCCTGCCTCCTGAACATGCCTTGTTGAAGGTCTGTCATATCTAAAACCCTGGCTCCAGAACATGCCTTGTTGAAGGCTTGCCATCTCTAGCACCCTGCCTCCTGAAGATGCCATGTTTGATAGCCATCGTCATTTCTAGAACCCTGCCTCCTGAACATGCCTTGTTTGAAAGTCAGTCATATCTAGAACCCTGCCTCCTGAACATGCCTTGTTGAAGGTCTGTCATATCTAAAACCCTGGCTCCTGAACATGCCTTGTTGAAGGCTTGCCATCTCTAGCACCCTGCCTCCTGAAGATGCCATGTTTGATAGCCATCGTCATTTCTAGAACCCTGCCTCCTGAACATGCCTTGTTTGAAAGCCAGTCATATCTAGAACCCTGCCTCCTGAAGATGCCTTGTATGAAGGCGTGTCATATCTAGAACCCTACCTCCTGAAGATGCCTTGTTGAAGGCTTGCCATCTCTAGCACCCTGCCTCCTGAAGATGCCTTGTTGAAGGCTTGCCATCTCTAGCACCCTGCCTCCTGAAGATGCCTTGTTGAAGGCCTCCCATCTCTAGCACCCTGCCTCCTGAAGATGCCTTGTTTAAGGCTTGCCATCTCTAGCACCCTGCCTCCTGAAGATGCCTTGTTTAAGGCTTGCCATCTCTAGCACCCTGCCTCCTGAAGATGCCTTGTTTAAGGCTTGCCATCTCTAGCACCCTGCCTCCTGAACATGCCTTGTTGAAGGCTTGCCATCTCTAGCACCCTTTGATCTTTTCTCATGTGTTATCATTTACGTCACCTTTTTGTACTTCATGAAGCTTTCACTGTAAATCTTTGTGATGTCATCATTTTATAATAAGCGAGGTCTGAGCCCTGTATTTGTATAGTGTGTATTTGTTGTAACTCTTAAATGCAGATTACATTATCGTTGTAACACATTATCATTTCTCCCATCAGCACATTGACTTTATCACTTTATTCTCTTCGGTATGAAATATCGGATTCTTTTCATTTATGAGAGCAATCCTCTTGGAGAATGACAAATCACGTTGCAATACGTCCATAAACTATTTTGGATTTATGACATACACGTTCAATGCCAAGATCAATTAAGTCAACTCTAAATATTATTGCTGAGTTCGCTGTTTTAGTCAGGTGGTTTACCCAAGGGAGCAAGCAAATTGTTGCCTTGCTTTTGTCTGTTACTGTGTATATCTTCAGCTCCCTCAATTCAAATTTTAGATAAAACAACGATATGTTTTCTTTGAATAAATCAAGACATGACGATTGCATAAACTATCCAGGATGCAAATAAATCGAAAATCATACCCAAATGCCTTACCTACTGCCAAGCTGTAAATGTGACGAATTCCATTTTCTGATTTCACTTTCATCACAATAACCTTCCTACTTCGTAAGATTTTTGTACATCACTCTTTCATACTTTCCCAGTTCTTCAAAATCCCAGCCTGAAAATAACATTTAACAATACAAGGGTCGTTATAGTTATTATAAAATAGATAATGATTTCCTGGTGCTAAAAGGTTCTCTATCTTTTAGTAGCGTTCGTTTTATGTCATTTGATGGATTCGATGATTGAGAACATTAACTTGTAAAGCATCGAACGGGCCATGAGGGCAAATGTTAGGCTCCGAATGGGTCAGATGAACAAAAGGATTGGAATCTAAATATCGAGAACCGTACAGGTGATGTGGAAACAAGTCTTGTCACTGGTCAAGTGAACTCCAGATTTGAAAATTTTAATGTCATACATAGAACGGGTCAAGTGAACTCCAGATTTCAAAATTTTAATGTCATACATAGAACGGGTCAAGGGAACTCCAGATTTCAAAATTTTAATGTCATACATAGAACGGGTCAAGGGAACTCCAGATTTCAAAATTTTAATGTCATACATAGAACGGGTCAAGGGAACTCTAGATTTCAAAATTTTAATGTCATACATAGAACGGGTCAAGTGAACTGCAGATTTCAAAATTTTAATGTCATACATAGAACGGCTCAAGCGAACTCCAGATTTGAAAATTTTAATGTCAGACATAGAACGGGTCAAGTGAACTCCAAAATTGAAGTTTTAATGTCTGACATCGGACGGGTCAAAACAACAACCTTTGAAAAATGTCGGGCAATGAATAGGTTAAGATGACTCGAAGAATTAAAATCACTATGCAGTACATGTAGTGCAATATGTAATAGTGTTGTTTTGATTGTCGTATCATTTACTGTCCAAATAACTCTTGATTTTCCTTCTGTAACTTTGTCGTCTTCATTTGAAAATTTTATCATGTTCTGACCATGTCATTAAATCATTGATTAGGATCATATGGTTGCTATGAAATCGATATCAGTGTTATAGACATTCGTATCCTCTTTCTACATAGATATATAAAACTTTTAGAGAAGATAGTTTGTTTCGATCATAATCCAAACTCGATTTCCATAAAATTAGGTTTACATGGCGGGTGTCGTCGATGAAGCAGAAGACGCTTTCTGTTCCGGAACACCTGGAACATTCTTTTTCTCCTTATACTTTCATGTAAATCTCTCTTAAATTCATATTTGCCCTTTGTCAATCTAAGTAAGCAATGTCACGTTCTAAATTAAGAACAACATATACAACAACAGAACCAATAGACAAACTAATGAGGATCAAACATATCCAACTTCACAACAATAACAATAACAAACAACTTTAACAATATATCATCATTTATAGTTCTCTTAGGACAATTTAATTTGTAATCAGTCTATTTTTAGAAAGTCATCTCACGAAGGCTTTGACCTCATCATATTTTCTTTAATGCTATGGTTTATTTGTTATTGAAGTTTATCATTACTATCTCTTACTTTAACAATCCATTGAAAAATCACGTTTTACGTCGCCTTCAGACGTCAACTCATAAAGATATTTTATACCCTCGCGATTGATATCAACATTAATCATTGTTATGACCATAAATGGTCAATGAAAGATACCCTTTCGACATATTTGGTAGTTAAATCCAGTAACACAAGCCACTATTACGTCCTCGATCTCTATAAAACAAGGTTCATGTTTTGTATGCCAACAATTCTCAATAGGGCAATTTATAATCTTTCATTCTGTTTGCTTTATTGTTGATTTGTTTTTCTTTTTATGACACGTGTTTCTTTTCTCGTTTTGTTTGAACGTAATTTTATCAAAAATAGCTTACGTAGACTTGCCCCTGGTGCCCTTGATTTGCAATTCTGGTCAGTATATACGATGAACAAGATCAATACACTTCTTAATATTTAAAGACAAGACCAATCGATATATCTAAAAATGATATTGAAGGACGTCGCAAGGTCGTTGTAACTTGTTTCGATAAGATAATAGATTCACCGCATAAGAAAACAAAATCAGCCAAGGAAGGAGCACAGCAATTTATTTCACTTATCTTTGCTTTTTGGGAGGCCTTATCACTAAATCGAAGACGATATCCTCAGTCAGAAATCCGACAACATCTACAACTTGTTATCCGCATAATTTCTTCATCGATTCAAGAGAATCTTTTTATTCAAGGAGGCCAAGATGCAAATCTATACAAGAGGTAATGTTTATAAAAATGTGCATGAAGTTTCATAGCTGCAGGATAAAATCTATTTATAGTAACACCAAAAAAAGAAAAAAACAATAAGAAAACACCAGCATGTCAACATAATCATAATCTAAACTCAAATTCAATAGACAAAATATTAACAAGACACAGAGACTCCTGAAAAGTGCAAAGAGGATAAGACCAGGTGTGCCGGAAGAGTAAGCGCCTTCTACTTCATCGACCACACTCGCCATGTAAATCTTTGTCATCTCTGGATTCTTAAACTTCACAAAGATCAATATAAACGACGTTTTATTGTTGGCTCGTCTATCTGTTCAACCAAGCCTTAGTCAAAACATTTTACTACCATTGTTATTACTATCAAATCTGGATAACGATAATTTGTGTAAAGGAAATGTAATGATGTATGCAGACACGGATAAAGTTAACTCAGTTTAGACTCAATGAGGCTGTACTGAGATATTACAAGAGAATGTGTTGACGTCGGTGGAGCGAATAACTTTGTCTCAAGGAGATAGATACGTAAACTCGTACAAGTGGTGATGATTATTTGAATGTATCCTTGGGCAAGACACGTCACCTCGATTTGACTTCCGCACATTTTATTTGATATAATCCCCACTATCACCCGATAATACTTTTTTAAAATGACTATAAATTGAGCGATAAGTCCAGCAAAGAAATCATATTTACTTCAAACACAGATAACAAATTAATGCGAATTTAATGTATCGTGTTAAGAATGAATGTCCTAAATAAACAAATATACATGTTGAATACTTTTCAAGCACGTGTATGCTTGGTTTTAGTTGTTTTTGTCTAATAAAGCATATTTCTGTACAAAAATAGCCTGACAACTTTATATATATATATATTTATATATAATATAAATATGTATTTATAAATCTTTAAATCAAAGAAATATGTTGATTCGATGACCTAGTAAAGTTTGGCATGGGCTGTCTGGAAATGGCTGATATCGCATCAAACACTTTTATGAAACCCCTAGTTACATGAATGTCTTGTCAAACATCTGGTAACACTAGCTATCATCCCAAAGTGGGCATTTTCAGGGTAATTGTATTGTAGACAGTAGTCTTTTCTGCAGAGGGAGTGTGATAGTTCGGATCGACTACAGCGAATTATAGAACACATTTGTTGCACGCCATCTCATTGATAACTGTCATGCAAATGTCATTCTGTTTCAACAACCGGAGCAAACGAATATGTTAACTAAGGTTACATCTGTTTCATCACCAACTTTGAGCTCTAGGGATCAGCTTTGACGTAATGAGGCCTCTTTAGTTTTCTTCATCATCAAAAGCAGAACAGTATAGAGACTAGTCTTAAATCATCCACAAATATTAATTTTATTTCAATATCAGTTATACACAAATATGCTCAAAATCCGTACTAAGACATAATTCAAGCTCCGGTTATCAGCTCATTGACAAAACATTTGTGATAACACCGTATTGGAAACATAAAGATGCAATATAGACCTAAAACATTCAGATCTTTTTTTTGTTTCTTTTCGCTATCCTCAGCTTTAGCCGATGTTATCGTTCACTATTCCTATTATTTTCACTTGTGTTTGCTCTAGAGCTCCACTGATCTGCTTGAGGTGAAAACATTTCTAATTAAATGCTATTGGTGTCGCCGCCATCGCGACTGACTCCGTTTGATGTCGTTTATAAATGAGACGGTGCAGAGCTGGTCAACACAACATCACAGGGCCTTAGGTGATTACGCGCAGTGCAAACACGTGCTGTTAAAAAACGATAAAGTAGTCAACATTCCGTCTGATACACATCAAACACTTACTTATATTGACCCGGGTCTGGCTGCACTGGTATATTTCGTATGAAGCTTAATTAATAAAAAGAAAAAGATATTTCGATAATAAACATTTTATATTAACGAATAAAGACAAAACAATGAACACACCTTGTCTGAAACGGCATGCTGTGTACTAATTCCATCCCATATTTAGTAAAGATATAGATCCGTTGAGTCACGCGAGTGTCTCCTTTTGAGATATTTTCCCGAAGTATGATTTGTCTAACACGTTTTCTTAGCAGAAAATGATTTTTTTAACCTGCCGTGACCCAGTATTGTAAGTTTTTTGTGACATTTTCGTTTCCCTGAAAAATTCAAAAAAAAAAAAAATATATAATAATCACAGTTTACATATTATTATATCATTCCTCATTCAAACACTCTCTCGAATCATTTGGCACCTACATTCAAAAATCCACATGTAACTATGGAAACTTTCCCCGCCATGTTGACGGAATATATCAGTATGTAACAGTTTATGTGTTAAGACAGCTTCACCGGAAAGTGGAAACATTTGACGCAATAGTAGAGACTTCTTGTGTTGTTTTACCTTGGCCTGAAGATTTGCCATTCATTTTACCAATTTGATTGTTATTGGCCTCGATAGTCAACATAAATCGTTGTCAGGTATCCTGTTTTTACGATGCTTCCGTTGTGAATGTTTTAAACTGTTTATAATTCGTTGATGCACGTCACCCTCGCACCCGCTGCTTTCGTTAATCTCCGCTATCACAGACCTTCTGTAATCAAACGCTGGTGGGAGTGTCTGCTTCGCCACTGGACTACCATTCATACCTTCAAACCGTGGAGAGTTATTTCCGGAAGACGAGGAGGATCGTCTCCTCGACCGGATACTAGCGGATCGGATAGAGCTTCTGTGGAACGATCGGAAAGGTGTAGACTTGTTGAATGTCAGATAGCCCTGTGGATTGGAAACATGATATAAAAAGTGTAGCGTTCGGCATATCGTTCAATAATGGCTATTTCAAGAGAAAATGCTCACACAGGAAGTTAAAAAAGTATTAGTTAAAAAAAAGAAGAGAAGCATCAAATTATTGTACAAAACCGACGTGATAAAATCACTTTATGAAAACCTAGCGCTAATGAGTTGACATTTTGATCAAGATTAAATTGCAGCGGTATTCAAACGTCCATTGCAATCGAGACGACGACAGAGTTTATTACAGGATCTCTGTGTGCGTTGCATTACATTGTACTTTTGTCATGGGGTAATATAAAAATCAAGTGACGACATCTGTTTACGACATCATCTTCTATTGTACAAGATGATCCAATAACTTGATAACGCTTTTCTTGGGAGGTTTAATATGGAGACATAACCAATGTTCCACTCATATTTTACGTGGTTGTACCCACATTTCTGTCCAAATTTGTATATATCTCGCTATACTCCCTACGTTCACTCACCTGTCCGAAACCAGCTTTATACGGTTCCTTCTTGACGCTCCTAAGTATACATTTCATGACGTAATGTCTAAAAGATTTATGTAAAAAACAATACAAGATAGGATTCGTGACACAGTGCACGTGTCCTATCAGTAACATGTACGGACTAAGGCGTTTTGCCGCTCGCACGTCCATACTGAAATCTAGATAAGTGTTGATCACAAAGAACGGCGTCCAACATGCGATAAACACTATAGCTATGGTTATACACAACTTAGCCAAACGGCGTCTGTTCCTAGTTATGTTTCGTAAACTCCTTTCTCGCTCACTATCCGTCCTTTTACCCCTGGACTTCCTGGTGTCGTCACTGAGCTTCCGGTCAGGGATCCACAGGCGTTTGCCCATTAGGAGATAAGCTACTAGTATGGTTGTACCTGGAATGATACAGATGATGAAAAGCAGAGTGACGTCATAAATCTGCCTGCTAGTCATGTGCACCCATTCTTCCATACAATACGTAATCACATTTCCTGGCAGGATAACGTGAGACACTGTGATGCGGACGAACAGTACAGGAACGGACAGCAGGAAAGACACACACCAGATGACGATGATAACGATACGGACATACTTGGTGGTACGGACGTTACGAAATTTCATTGGATGTCTAATTGCAAGACATCGGTCAATACTCATTGTGGTGATGGTAAGAGTACTAGCTGTGACAGATACACCTACAACACAAGATAGAGGTAGTCAGATTATCAATATCATAAAACCTTATATCGTGACGAAACAGTATAGAGGTTGTGTGGTACCCATAGCACCATATATCGTAACGAAACAGTATAGAGGTGGCTTAGTACCCATAGCACCATATATCATAACGAAACAGTATAGAGGTGGTGTGGTACCCATAGCACCATATATCGTAACGAAACAGTATAGAGGTGGCTTAGTACCCATAGCACCATATATCATAACGAAACAGTATAGAGGTGGTGTGGTACCCATAGCACCATATATCATAACGAAACAGTATAGAGGTGGTTTGGTACCCATAGCACCATATATCATAACGAAACAATATAGAGGTGGTGTGGTACCCATAGCACCATATACCATAACGAAACAGTATAGAGGTGGTGTGGTACCCATAGCACCATATATTATAACGAAACAGTATAGAGGTGGTGTGGTACCCATAGCACCATATATCATAACGAAACAGTATAGAGGTGGTTTGGTACCCATAGCACCATATATCATAACGAAACAGTATAGAGGTGGTGTGGTACCCATAGCACCATATACCATAACGAAACAGTATAGAGGTGGTGTGGTACCCATAGCACCATATACCATAACGAAACAGTATAGAGGTGGTGTGGTACCCGACATATAACACCATATACCATAACGAAACAGTATAGAGGTGGTGTGGTACCCGACATATAACACCATTTTTCATAACGAAACAATATAGAGGTGGTGTGGTACCCGACATATAACACCATTTTTCATAACGAAACAGTGTAGAGGTATGAATAGCACCATTAATACAAAGTTAGAATTTCAATCAGGTCTAACTGCGTTCTACAGTTTTATATCGTGAAATTTGATCTTTAAGAACTGTTTTAATAAGGTCTAACTATGTTTTATAGTTTTAGATCAGAAATTTTTACCGCAAACTCTGTTTTAATCAGGTCCAAGTACGTTCTATAGATTTAAATCGACGACGCCCTCCCTGTTAATCTTTGTCTATCTGTGTTAGTTATGTCACGTTCACAAAAAAAGAACAATGTAAACAACAATCAAACTGCCAAGAGCAACAACGAACATCAAAGACAGCCAACTTCATATACATCAGAAAATAACTTTTTTTTCCAAATGAGACCATGGTATCTACCATAAAACTAGTCCTTTGTTGTTTACATGGTATCTCAACTTTCTGTTTATTGTTATGTATTTACAAACATGGTTGACATGCGTCCAGAATGAAATATTCATGATACAAATTGACATGCCGGTGAAGCAGATTTACATACAGATTGTAAATGTGTATAAGATCTTGTATTGACTTTCATTTCATATAAGATTGGTTTTGAGATAAAGAACAAAGAATTTGTTGTTTTTTTTTTTTCGTTTCTAGTTTTAAGCTAAAACACGAAATTTCCGGCGAGTTTTGCAAATTTGATATGAAATGGGAACGAATAAAGAGTAAAACTTGAAATATTATGTGGCCAAGTTGATTCAGAAACACCCATTAAAAAAACTCGGGTTATTACGTAAACAAGTTTATTCACAAATATTTATAAAAAAAAAAAAAAAACACGAGATATTATGCAACGAATTTAATTCACGAAAATTTATAAACAAAACTTGGGTTATTATGTAACCAAGGGAATTCACAAATATTTATAAAAAAATAACCCCCCAGTTATTACGTAACCAAGTTTATTGACAAGCATTTATGAAGACATTTATTACTGAATACAGACAGTCGTTTTCACGTGCCGCTATAAAGTTGGGAAACGGTATTTCAAACAATAGTAAATTAAACCAATTAGCGAAGTCATTGATTACTCAAAGCGGGAACGTGTCATTGGTTGTCAAACATGATTAAAGGAGAGTATTGCACGTTCTAAAAAAAATGTTGAACTCATCTTTGGAATATTTTTTGTTCATGAAACTCATCAATCACTCTCAAAATATGAAGTCTTTCCCAAACTTTGGATAAGTATCTATGCTGAACTTCACTTCAACACGTAAAGAATTGAAATTATTTTAACCTGTTTTTTTTGGACTTCATAAATAAGTTATGTGCTGGTAAAAGTCAGCACTTTAACATTCTAAACAAGTTTCTGCTAAAAGACCATAATTAATGGGCCACTTACGAACAGAAGGTCGACCGTCAAGGTGTACTTTCAATAATTAAAAGGCAAACTAATGTGTGAACATGAAATGAGTTGATGTCAAGGAAATTTGTAGATACGACTAATATCTTCCTGACTCCGTTAATATTTTTTTTTTTTGAAGTGGAGATTTGATGAGAATCCAGTTTGATAGGAAGCTTCTGGTACTTACCTTGTAGGTATGGTGTTAATTTACAAAGTGTTTCGCCATATATCCACAGTGGATAGATTTTCTGAGCAAGAGTCATCGGGATACAAACGAATGTCACTGAAATAGCAGAGAGAACAACATTATACCATTGTTATCATCGATATATCGGGGGCAAAAATTTAATAAAATAATACAACGGTGATAAATAAAATGTAAATGATAGATAAAATAGAACAATAATCACTAAACGTATTAGATATGATGCCCCTCATCGCGGTTCGGCAAAGTAATAACTTTGAGGCTATCCCGATCCAAGATAAAAAGATGATTTGGTCGAACTAGTAGTTTATATAAAGGAATAACTTCACTACCAGATAAATAAAGCTGTATGACGTGTCAATAACTCCGTGGATCGTCGACGGGGGTTTGTAGTGTACGGGATGATCAATCAAGTCGATAGACCGTGGACTTATCAGTTGCCAACTTCTGATAAAAAAAATTATCTAAAAAACAATCGTCTGATGGAAAAATGTAGAAACTTGACTGGTTTGATAACGACTTCAGCCGGGAAATATGTCTAAATACGTCAAAAAGATCATTTCAGTCGGTGCTCGATAATAGATTTTGCATTCACTATGACGGTTCTCATTTAGGAAACATTGCATTCCTTTGTTTGTTTGAGAACCCGGTCTTATTCTTTTTTTCCGAGGACAGTACGAATCTGTTTATGTTAATGGTCTGACCTCATCGGTTGCAATTTTTGTGACTTTTCTCTGACTGTTCTTTGTCGGCATAACATACAAACTTTACAAAGCAATACATACCAAGATATCTGAATATATCTGTCTGACTCAATTACGTACAGACCATACCAGGCAAAATATTACTTACATAGGGACACAGAACATGTGATGTTATATATTACCCTAATGTGATGACTTTCCACACGTGCTAGCGTGTTACGACTAACACGTCTTCTGCTTTCCACTACAATTAACACTCTGGCCCGTAGACGACATTCCGGCTTGTTTAATCATGCAAACGAGGGGATGATACGGCATCAGATGGGTGTACTTTAAACAAACTTTATTCATGGAGACTTAAATGTCCTTGGTCGGAGTTAATCAACCGTAGGCAGAGGAGAATAACAATTTACACCAATGTTGGCAGTCGTCTTCTATAGATAGCTTAAACGTTAAACTCATGCTTAAACAAATAAGTGTGAGGCAATCGCATTCCGCCATGTTATGTAATAGCACGCGCTCTCTTACAGGCTGCTGTTACAGACAATGGAGGGGTTAAAAGTGCATTCGACCGCCGGAGGTATATCGTACAGAATCTTACAGAAATAACATAAAGTTTAAACTGAAGTTTATACAAACGTTCAAAGTTAAACCGAGCTAAGTGAATCAGTATAAAACAGATAAAACAAAATATTAATCGGGAACTGTAGATCAACATAATGTTAAACCAAATCGTTGTCAAAATGAATGCGTAATGTTTAAACTTATCAGACGAAGGTGATTTTAAAAAATTCAGGTCAAAATGCCAAACAGCTTACCACAAAACAAGTAAAACAATAAATAATTGAATAAATAAATTGATAAATCAAAACTGGTAAAGCATCTTAACAAAAAGCACGTCAGAGAGGCTTAGCATGCAATAACAAACCAGATCAAACCGGGCTACCACGTTACCACAAACCAGGTCAAACCGGGCTACATCGTTACCAGAAACCAGGTCAAACCGGGCTACCACGTTACCACTAACCATGTAAAACCGGGCTACCACGTTACCACTAACCATGTCAAACCGGGCTACCACGTTACCACAAACCAGGTCAAACCGGGCTACCACGTTACCACTAACCATGTCAAACCGGGCTACCACGTTACCACTAACCATGTCAAACCGGGCTACTACGTTACCACTAACCATGTCAAACCGGGCTACTGCGTTACCAGAAACCATGTCAAACCGGGCTACCACGTTACCACTAACCATGTCAAACCGGGCTACCACGTTACCACTAACCATGTCAAACCGGGCTACCACGTTACCACAAACCAGGTCAAACCGGGCTACCACGTTACCAGAAACCATGTCAAACCGGGCTACTACGTTACCACTAACCATGTCAAACCGGGCTACTGCGTTACTACTAACCATGTCAAACCGGGCTATCACGTTACCACAAACCAGGTCAAACCAGGCTACCACGTTACCACAAACCAGGTCAAACCGGCGTTGGTTTAATCTGTTATATTTGTCCCAGTAAAAAAAACGCGTTTAATCAGGTACGAGTGATAATTGTTATCAGTATAAACGACTAATTGCCATAAGCACGCACAGAGGTTGTTCAAAAGCTTGTTAAAAGATACATGACCGAGGATATTATTTGACTTCAGACCTGATAACAGGGTAACACCGGATCCAACGTTAAATAGATATAGACTTTTTCCGGAAAATAATCAGCAGAGTCTGGTCTGAATGGAATTGATGGTTTACACATGATAAAGGCAAATTTTCGCTGATATCAAGTTTGATATAGATGGACATAGGTGTAATTAACACTTGTCCTAACAATGTACAACTTGTAACACTGTGTCTGACAGTCTATATATTATTGTCGTGCGGATTGTCCCTCCCATTCAGTATCATGTTATCGCCAACTGTGACGTTTGTGGAATGAAGAGATAAAATATCGACTTTACATTATTGTTGTTATATTGCTATCCACCGTGATGTAAACATTGACAATGGTGTATAGAGGATTAACCTTCACCACAACTTAACCATAAGGAGAGTTTTTTATATATAGCGTAAAGCAAAAACTAACGTCAGCAAACTAACACAGCTGGCACATAGTAACAGGTGCTCGCCACATCCATGAATATCAACACCGTAACTGTTAACATAAGAAAACAAATAAGGTTTCATTTGTATTGACGTTGATTGGTGAAAGTAACAAAGTTCCATTTCTACTGACGTGATTGGTGAAAGTAACAAAGTTCCATTTCTACTGACGTGATTGGTGAAAGTAACAAAGTTCCATTTCTACTGACGTGATTGGTGAAAGTAACAAAGTTCCATTTCTACTGACGTGATTGGTGAAAGTAACAAAGTTCCATTTCTGATGACCTGATTGGTGAAAGTAACAAAGTTCCATTTCTACTGACGTGATTGGTGAAAGTAACAAAGTTCCATTTCTACTGACGTGATTGGTGAAAGTAACAAAGTTCCATTTCTACTGACGTGATTGGTGAAAGTAACAAAGTTCCATTTCTGATGACCTGATTGGTGAAAGTAACAAAGTTCCATTTCTACTGACGTGATTGGTGAAAGTAACAAAGTTCCATTTCTACTGACGTGATTGGTGAAAGTAACAAAGTTCCATTTCTATTGACGTGATTGGTGAAAGTGACAAAGTTCCATTTCTGACGACGTGATTGGTGAAAGTAACAAAGTTCCATTTCTACTGACGTGATTGGTGAAAGTAACAAAGTTCCATTTCTATTGACGTGATTGGTGAAAGTAACAAAGTTCCATTTCTATTGACGTGATTGGTGAAAGTAACAAAGTTCCATTTCTATGAACGTGATTGGTGAAAGTAACAAAGTTCCATTTCTGACGACGTGATTGGTGAAAGTAACAAAGTTCCATTTCTATTGACGTGATTGGTGAAAGTAACAAAGTTCCATTTCTACTGACGTGATTGGTGAAAGTAACAAAGTTCCATTTCTACTGACGTGATTGGTGAAAGTAACAAAGTTCCATTTCTATTGACATGATTGGTGAAAGTAACAAAGTTCCATTTCTATTGACGTGATTGGTGAAAGTGACAAAGTTCCATTTCTGACGACGTGATTGGTGAAAGTAACAAAGTTCCATTTCTATTGACGTGATTGGTGAAAGTAACAAAGTTCCATTTCTACTGACGTGATTGGTGAAAGTAACAAAGTTCCATTTCTATGAACGTGATTGGTGAAAGTAACAAAGTTCCATTTCCATTAACGAGATTGGTGAAAGTAACAAAGTTCCATTTCTATGAACGTGATTGGTGAAAGTAACAAAGTTCCATTTCTATTGACGTGATTGGTGAAAGTAACAAAGTTCCATTTCTACTGACGTGATTGGTGAAAGTAACAAAGTTCCATTTCTACTGACGTGATTGGTGAAAGTAACAAAGTTCCATTTCTGATGACCTGATTGGTGAAAGTAACAAAGTTCCATTTCTGATGGCGTGATTGGTGAAAGTAACAAAGTTCCATTTCTACTGACGTGATTGGTGAAAATAAAAGTTCCTTTTTTTTAATGACGTGATTGGTGAAAGTAACAAAAGTGCCATTTCTACTGACGTGATTGGTGAAAATAAAAGTTCCTTTTTTTAATGACGTGATTGGTGAAAGTATGAGTTTCATTTACACTTTTGTTAAAAAACAATACAGACACATTAAATATCATTAAATATCAATATATTTCACACAACAATGATATCGGAATCACCGCGAAAAACCTGTTATCAAAAACAATCAATGTTAATATCACCAAACAGTTTTACATATTCAATGTATATTTCCGAGTTCAGGTCAGAATACGTAATCGATCTCTTTATCACAAATGAAGAATTCAAATTCAGCTATCACAAAAATAGGACACGATTAAAAATTTTAAAAATGACGTAAGTGAATTAAATGGACATGACAACAGAACACAACAGTATTGAAGATGTATGGAAATCAGATGCCCAAAATTTATAATTCTAACTTTTGTTCATTTGATTATTTCCCTTGTTCTAGTTAAGATTTTTTGGACGGTTAGATGACAGAAAGCAAATGAAATGAAAATGCAATGAAATATTCCTGGGATAATAAGGAAAATTATCCCAAAATGTTTATTTTCCAACGGATTTGAAAGCCGCAAATCTCCATAATATCTCATCAAAATGTTAGTTTTGAAAAATAGCTTAAATCCTATATTTGACAATATTCTTTAAATCCAACATTTATTCAAGTTCTATCTTTGATATAAAAATGTTTGGGTAAAGAAGGAGGGGCGCTGTGTGTTTTTTTTCTCTCACTAAAATGTGTTTCTTTTCAGAAATCAAGAGATAGACT